GTATCGCTAGCAAAGCATCAAACTGAGCCACCGACATCCTGAAGTAAACGTTGAATCGCCCATGATAATCCCGATGCTCCTTAATAAGGAGATGGAACTCTCCTTCCTCTCTATATCTCAGGATTGGATGGACCCAATATTTCCTTTCTTTTTCTCTTTTTAAGAAGCGAGAGGACAACAAAATCATCCTCACTGCTTGAAGACTCCATTTAGTAGCCTACTGTTTTGCGAATTTTTTCGCAACGGATTAACTAATACGCATCGGACTCAGTGTGCAAGGTTTCTGTGCGTGACAAATTTTTAGGAGGACGAATACGAGAAAACTCATACAAAAATTTCGGACTCAGTGTGCAAGGTTTCTGTGCGTGACAAATTTTTAGGAGGACGAATACGAGAAAACGCATACAAAAATTTCGGACTCAGTGTGCAAGGACCTTTAGAGTTAGTGGTTTAATCAAATCTCCAACATTAAGTATGAAATATTATGAATGACACCTTAAATTGTGCGATTTGTTAAGTAGATGAGTTTGAGAGGGCAGGAACCTCTCATTTTCTTTAGAAAATATACACATTTAGCTGAAAGAATATTAGCATTACATAATCTGTAAAATCAGATTTTAAAAAGCCACAGTAATTACCTCAGAAACCCTCAATTCAACAGAATAACAAAGCAATGGTCCTAATAATCAACAAACCACTGTGATGTCAAAGATAGCTCAATTATTTTTGACAGAAACCTTGTTGAACCTGCAATCTCTGTACTGATAATTATCCCGCTAATGCGTCAGTGCACAAGTCATTTATGAGTTATTCAGCACTGTTTTACTTTACTATGCTGAAACAGGAACTCAAAAAAGGTCACTTTTTGTATATTTAACCAGTGGGAGTTAAACAATCACCATGCAATACGAAACCTGAGTTAATATACTGAGATTCTCAGAGATTTACTTTAATAAAACAGACTCGACAGTCCTGAGCATTTGAGACACTCGTGTACCCGGTGTGTCTCAAGGTTGCCTTTTTTTTTTTATACTGTCAAAGCAAACAGTTTCCATCGACTCCACAAAGTCGCACTAGTCTGAGCGGCACAAAGCCACACGGCAGACAGCGGAGTCGCCGATGTATTGTCAGACTCCTGTGTATCATATTTTTTCATTCACACATCTGTCATCTGAGCATGAAGAAACTGTGGCTGGGCGAGTGACGAGCCGGTTGAGGTCAAAGGTCAGGCTCTTTGGAGTTTAGAAACGGGGTTTGCGCTCAATGAACACGTCGGCCATTAAATCCATTGCTTTGCTTGATCTGCTGCTAATTGCGCTGCGCAGCGGCTGTCACAAGGTCATGTAAAGTCTGGGGATATGTTATTAATATGCAAACAAATGTCATTTTCCAATGGGTGCGGTAAAGGCTTGCGCTAATTATTCCATCAATCCCAGATTTACATCTTAATTAAAGATTTTTATCTCGTTGAAGGTATGGCGACGGTGGAAAATAGATCGGAACTGAGTTTTTTTTTCTTTCTCTCTGACGTGTAAAACTCCACAATGGTCTTCAAGGCACTACAGGAAGGCAGAACAAAGCTGCTTTATCACCTCTGGATAACTTTATCTGTGTCTATACGCCGCTGTCAAAAGCTCGGAAATGCTTCGAATGCTGACTCTGGATCCAATTTGTGTAACTCAACTCATACGTTGCCTCTTGCTGTAGAGATTTCATGTAGAGAAAACAATGTTTTGTGTTTCTGTTAAAGCTTCGAATGGCAATCGGTGATGAAGTACAGACACATTTGTAATGAATGTAGAATGCCTGCCAAAGTCTTCTAATGGTGTAATTGTACTTTAAATATGCACACTCAGTGACGCAAAATCTGATTAGATGAGCCATGTCTGAAGTATCACAACAATTGAGGGTTTTAGTCTATTAGTTTTGAGGCCGCAAAGAACAAAGCCGTTTTATCACCTCTGGATGACTTTATCTGAATCTAAACGCTGTTGTCAAAAACTTGGAAACGCTACGACTGCTGACTGTGGATCCAACTTAACCAAACCCACACAGTACCTCACACTGTACAGTTTTCGCAGATTTTTGCACTTTTTTGTTAAAGCTTCCAACGACAATCTGTGATGAAGTACAGACACATTTGTAATGCTTGTAGAATAACTGTTAAAGTCTTTTAATGGTGTAATTGGTCTTCTCGTCCGACTGTCAAATTATTGACAATATATCTGTTATTCCTTCTTCCATGCTTGTTCTGATTATGTTCTTTTGTTCATATTTAAAAGACAATAAACAGTTGATCACAAAAACAAATTGTGCAATTGGTTTTAAAAATGCACAATTATAAAATTAACATTTGTGACAAAATCTGATTGGATGAGCAATGTCTGAATAAAATAGTTTTTCTATTAGTTTTGAGGTCACTTTCATGTTACTTCTAAAATACCCAAAATTAAATTATATAAATGACCATTCAAAAGTTAAAGGTCAGTAATGGTTTTTTTTTTTCTCTTTTCAAAAATAATGTTATTCAGAAAATATGCATTAAATTGTAGACATGTAAAAATCGGCAACGGTCTTTGTGGAACTACAGGAAGACAAAACAAAGCTGAAATAGAGAGAAGTTTGTAATGAACAAAATGAAAGTCAAAGACTTTTAATGGTGTAATTGTACTTAAAACGCACAACTGTAAAATTACTAGTTGTGACGCAAAATTGAATTAATTGGATTAATAGCTGTGATGCAAAACTGATTGGATGAGCAATATTTGAACCCGGTAAGATAAAATTTTACAACAATAGATCATTTTTCAGGATGTTTTTATGTTGGCGTACATACTCAAAATTAGCTTATATCATGCAAAAGTTTAGATTCAGTAAGGTATTTTTTTTTTTACGTTTAGTGCAATATGCATTAAATTGTAGACATATAAAACTCGACAATGGTCTTTGTGGAGCTACAGGAAGGCAAAACAAAGCTGAAATACAGACACGTTTGTAATTAAGATAAGAATGACTGTCAAAGTGTTTTACTAGTGTAATTATACTTAAAAATGCACAATTATAAAATGAATAGTTGTGATGCAAAATCTGATTGGATAAGCAAGGTTTGCAGCTGTTAAGATAAAAACAAAATCACAACAATTGAAGCTTTTAGTCTTAGTTTTTAGGTCATTTTTATGTTAGCATTCTCTTAAAATACTTAAAATTAACTTAAACTACCGTTCAAAAGTTTGGGGTCAGTAGTAATATATTTTTTCCGAAAGAAAATGTTATTAAACAAAGATGGATCACATCGTAGACATGTAAAACTCGATAATGGTCTTCACAGTACTACAGGAAGGTAGAACAAAGCTGTTTTATCACCTCTGGATAACTTTATCGCCGCTGTCAAAAGCTCGGAAATGCTTCGAAAGCTGACTCTGGATCCAATGTGTGTTACCGAACCCGTACGGTGCCTCTTACTACAGATGAAAAGACAATGTTTTTCATTTCTGTAGAAACTTCCAGTGACAATCCGTACCCTGAGGCCTCGCCGCCCCCATGGCGCGATCTCGACCAGTCCACGAACACACACTTATGTCAAAACCTTTCCCATCTCTTTCCAGAAAACACTCCATAAATTAAAGAGCGTGTTCAGCGATCACACATGCTCTTCCTCCCCCAGCTTTGACTGAACGCAGCCCACTCTCTGACGGGAGTTCATCCAGTACAGGAGGGAGCAGAAAGCCATGATGACAGCGGATAGGCAGCGAGGGGTGGCGGTAAGCCAGCAATAGCCAGACACTTCCTGACAGCAGTAACCGGCCCCCATGACCAGCTGCTGCCTGGGGATCAACCGGAGGTAAGAGACAGAAATGATGAGAGCAGAAAAAGACTAGGGAACATGTGGGGAGGCCTGTCACCTGCCAAGTGCTGCATGAGGTAGTTGAAATGGCAGCCACCAGCGACGCAGCGCTCTGATTGGCTGGCTGGGCTCCAGAATTCCCTGAGGTGTCTTAAAGAGTTCATAAGTGAATCCCGAGAGGAAGGTGACGAAGTACAGACACGTTTGTAATTCTACTTTAAAAATGTACAATTGTACGATCTGATGGGATGTTTAAAGCTGAAATATTACAACAACTGAAGCTTTTTTTTTTTAGGGCTTTTTTTATGTTAGCATATTCTTAAAATACTCAAAATAAGCTCACGTACACTACCTTTCAAAAGTCTAAAAGAAATTAATCTTTTTATTTCGAAAGGATGCATTGAATTGATCAAAGGTGACAGTACATTTAGAATGTTCCAAAACTTAAAATGTTAAAATGTTTCTATTTTAAATCAACTTTCTATTCAAAGAATTAGCAAGTAATGATGGTGAAAATTCAGCTTTGCACCGCAGGAATAAATTACATTTTAAAATATATCCTAAAAGAAAACAATTATTTTAAATTGTAATAATATTTAAATATTATTGTTTTGACTGTATTTTTAATCAAATAAGCACAGCTTCAGTGAGCATTTAAACAACATTGAAAAATTCTTTTGAACCTAAACCTAGTGTTTGAATTTAAATTTTACAGTCTCCGTCTTCTGGCAAAAATATTAATGACTTCATCCTGCACTACATATTTTATTGTCCAATCAAATGCTCACTAGGAATGATAATGTCCCATTCCAGCAACAGATCAGCAGCTAATCACAGTTCATGGCAGTGACAAAACTAAAGCATACTAGCTAAAAATGAGGACACTCTTCAATATGACCCATCCAAACTTTCTTTAAACAGGAAGTACTTAAATACAGAACTGAAACTGCATATTAAGCGATTTCATGAGGTCTGTAATTACATTCAGATAGTCAGAAATGTCACAAAACCTTCCATTTATATTCGTATTTTTATGTACACAAACAACCGACCTCTTAAACACCATGTAATGCTTTATTTCCTGAGACATAGCAAGCATATTTTAGTGTGCAGAATAACTGTTCTAGTCTGTGGAAGAGGAATGACATTGACTTACTTGTTATGCAGGACACACCAGCCGCAGTGAGGATCTCCTGAACCCAGACACGTCTTACAGCTGCTGTACTGAGAACAGCTCTCCACAGGCAGACGACTCACCTGAAACACATGACAAACATTAAACTGACATTACCTTAACACTACCACAGACAAACAGATCGCCTCTGCTAGTCAAATCACTTCCGTTTATTGACACGGATACTACAAAATCATTTATTTTTGGGAATAGAACAGATAAAATACTGGATACACGACAGATATGATTGAAATATATTATATTAGCAATCAAAAAAGAATGCTCTTTATTAATGTTTTATTTATTTATTTTTTTTAAAAGTCCCCCTGTGGTGAAAATCAAGTTTTTTTATGTTGTTTATTTGTCTATGTGTTGTTTTTAATATGCTTTTAGACAAACCATGTGCCAATCCATTTATCATGCTTACGTTGAGCATACCAGCTTATTTCTGGTTCAAACACATATGGCTTTAATTAAACCAATATTTCCACTTGCCATTGCCATTGTATCGCGTTTACTACAGTTCAGTACAGTTCAGGTGGCGCTGGCTCATGGCTGGCTGCTGTGTGACTGAGTGGAGGCGGGGCTAATTTGCGCATTCATAGATCCGCGTATAGTAAATGAGGCAAGGGTTTAGAGTTGCATTCAAGCTATTTTAAGGCATGAGAAAATTCTTTTCACAAGAAAAAAAATTTAAAATGTCATTTTTATGATCAAAGATGAGTTTTAAAGGATAACATTTTTGACTACAGGGGGACTTTAACAGTTCATAAGATTAAATCAATCCCAAATTTGGATTTTGTATCTCAATATATACACAATAATAATCATAATGAATAATAATAAAAAATTATAATAATACATTTAAATAATAAATGTAAACATTTTGATATCATCCAAACAGGTTTAGAGAGTCATGTGACTGATGCCCTGCAATTGGATTGTCTCTGGTAGAGAAATCAGTTCAGTTAGTGTGAATTTAAATGAATTTATTTTTGAGAACAGAATCCATAAAGTACCTAATGGTCTTTTTTTTTTCATAAGTTTATAAGATGTCATTTTAGCACACACAAAAAAAGAAAAGATGACTAAAATTAAATGAATCCCAGAAAATAATAATAATGATAATAATACATTTAAATACATTTAAACATTTGATACATTAAAATATTTCTATTTCTATTTATTTTAACATTTTAATATTTATAAAAATAGTTTATATTAAATAAGAATTTCTTTGAATGAATGAATGAATTTTTCAGATCGTAGGGCCCTAGACTGATGCCTTAAGTATAATTTTCCTGTGCTTAGTGCACTAATATTTCTATTTAACAGCCATCAAATCAGGTTTAGCAATTCGAGTCATGTGACCCATGCCCTGCCATTGGCTGTAATCCTCACATGCCCGAGTAGAGTCTCTTTCAGTCCTGGAACACAGTAGTTACAGCAGTTCTCAACACATGCCCTCAACTCAAACCTCTCGTCATCCATCTGAACCACACAAACAAGTTCAGCTGCTTGTAAACACTTTCAAACATTCAGACGGAGACGGAGCAATGCAGCCGAACGGCAGAGCATCAGCACAGTCAACTTACGCGGAGGAAAGAAAATATCATAAAACAGCGCAGGGGAAACTCATAAAAGAACGAGATGTCCAGGGGACAGTAATAAGCGCTGCAGATGCGAAGATTCGCACGGGAGAAACACCCTCGCCAAACAGGACAGGCGTATAAGAAAAATGAATCAGCTCCCAAAAACACCAGCTTATATAAATGATGATGGGAGTTGGGAGAGAGTGGGAGGTCTAGGACAGAAATAACATGAATATATTACATCTAAAAGAGCGGTTTGTGGATCAAAGTTGGTGTGGGCTGTCGCAGTCCCGATGATTGGCTTACTTAAGACGCAGAAAAAAAAAAAGCCCAAACCCAAAAGCAGTTGTTTTCGAAAACTGCCTTTAGAAGCTCTAAAAATGCTCATTCCATGGAGTTGTAATCGCCTTTGATCGCTGGCAAGATTAGAGTGAGAAAAACAAGAGCCGTGGAAAAAACACACCCACCCAAAAGGGACACGGCTCGGCTTTCAAGTGCAGAGTAGCTGATGGCTCTCCGGCACTGTGTGTGTGTGTGTGTTGCGTCAGTCAGGACGGGTGGGTGAGGTGTAGTCTGTTGGCCCATGTTAATTTATTCTGTAACATAGCTATGCATAAATCTATGGTCTTATAATCCAGTCCAGACCCCTGATTGACAACATGATCGAAATTGACCTCATTTACTTCCTTAGCAAATGTCCCATGGCCTTACAGTGAAACAAATACTAAAGGTGCATCCCAAATCGCGTACTTATGCACTATTCTTCTATGACGTTTTGTAGCATAAATAGTGCGAGTAGTGTGTTCATGTGTAGTGTTAATGTTGAAAATTTCAAAAAGATGGACACTTCATTCAATCAACTGTCTTTAATTACGTCGCGAAGGGGGAGAGGCTATCAGACTCCGATTATTAATGACAAAATAACCTTACAAAATTGATAGTGAGTACATAGAGCATAAGTTCATGCAGTGTATAGTTTAAAGGGGTCATATGATGCTGCTAAAAAGAACATTATTTGGTGTATTTGGTGTAATGAAATGTGTTTATGCGGTTTAAAGTAAAAAAAACACATTATTTTCTCTTTGTGTGAACATTTGGGCGGTGTTATGCAAATCTTCCCACATAGTGTGGTAGATATGTGGGGGCGTGTTCGAACGAGCCGTTTTAGGGGGGTGTGGCTGACTCTTAACTTTTATAAAGAATATCTCTTTGGATTTGAGACTTTAGTCTTTGCAAATTTACAGATCTTCTTTATGCACCAAGAGCTTGTAACACTCCAAAGAGAAAGGAAAAAATGAAATCGCATCATATGACCCCTTTAAGAAACTAGATTGCACAACAAAACTAAAATAAATAAATAAATGAATAAATAAATAAAATGCTTTCAGATTGTTTGGCCAGATTGATTGTACTGTGCTTGGTGCCTTAAAATTTCTATTTTACAGCCATCCAATCATGTCTAGCGAACCAAGTCATGTGACCCATCCACCTATTGGATCGTCTCTGCTAGTGTGTTTAACGGCCAATTAACTGACAGGAACACTTCAATATCAATATAAACAACAACAAAATATTTGTAACTATAATTATACATTTAAATAATAAATGTAAACATTTGAATACCATCCAATTCAATTTTGGGTCAGGTGACCAATGCTCAAAACACTGGTTTGGATATTCAAATATCACAAAAAAAAAATATGAATGAATACTTTTTTTAACATCATCAAATACAGTATATTTTCTGTTTATACACTGGTGGCCAAAAGTTTGGAATAATTTAATTTTTTTATGTTTTCTTATGCTCACCAACGCCACATTTATTTGATAAAAAATACAGTAAAAACAGTAATATTGTGAAATATTATTACCATCTAAAATATTTTACAATTATTTTTGTCTTTGGTGTTACATGTTCCTTCAGAAATCATGATTTGCTGCTCAAGAAGCATTTCTTCTTATTATTATCACTGTTGAAAACAATTTCTGCCTAATATTTTGTGCTACATTTTTCCAGGATTCTCTGATGAATAGAAAGTTGAAAAGCACATAGGAAACACAGGAAAGTGATTTTTGTGCATGCTCAGTATATTCCGTCAGGAACGCTGTCAGTGTTTGATGGATGAGTACAATGTTAGATAAATGAAAGGCTTCATATATCTCTTTCTCTCTCTCTTTCTCTCCAATGAAATGGCTGCATTACTGGTGCAATTCGAAGAGCAGGATGGTAAATAATGTCGCCGCTCTGAAAACTTGGCATTCACAGACCTTTTACTGACACACATCAGAGGGTTGCGAGTGGCAGCGGGCCATTTTGCGAGCAAATAAGCTCTCTAACCTATCTGTGCACCTGCCGCAAATGAAATATTCAAATCCACAGACTCCAGCGGTCAGTGTAGGTTATGAATTATTGACTCTTGGCGATTCATTCACATTTCTTATTTCATGAAGTGCAGAGGGTACTGTGTGTCTACACACAGATTCTGATTGGTGGAGAAATGGTGAAGTAATCAGTGGCGACCCCTCAGTAAAAGATACACTGGTATAAATTAGGTCCAAACTACACAGAAATTTGAATAATTAGGTAGTCCTTCTTAATCAACAACCAAAAAAAAAAAAAACCAATATAATCAAACTGCACAAAATGTTTTTTTCAATAAAATACATAAAATGAAACAAATAAAAAATAAAATAAATCAACATAAAAAAATAAAATAAAAAATAAAATCATAATTGCTCAATGGAAATACATTAATACCAGATGTAAATAAATTAATACCAGGCCTTTACATGAGAAAAATGTTGAACTGGACTCTTATCCTTAAGGATTTGAGCTAGGTTCTTATAGGAGTTCATAGTAAGAGGGATTCGAGACATCGGAAAGCCATTTCAGAGATGGAGCAAGTTGCAACATCTTTATGAAAGATTTCAAAGACAAAAATTTGGAAATAAATCCCACACAATAATTCTGATGATCAGAATAGCTTGACAGAAAATGGGGCAAAATTAAATTGTGTTGTTTAACATTTAAAATTGAAATATTATTTTAGAATTTTTCTGTGAAAAATAAAATGTAACAAAAATATATACATAATTTTCAAACAAATATTGAAATGGCTTGTTATTTCACTCTTTTTTGAGATCATGATAGCTTTAAAAAATAGTTATAATAGATTGTTATAGTTAAAGATTGAAAGTTTGTGTTTGGGACAATCATAAAACAATAAAATCCAGACATAAAAAGTACATAAAACATAAAAATTGCACGTTGACCTTTGATGCGATTTTCAAAAGGACAAATGAATAAATAAAAAGTAATAAAAAAGAAAAAAATAGAAAGTTGTAATCTTCAAAAAAAAAAAATCCTACACCGTACAACAGTTTGCTGCAGTGAGGTACTAAAGCTGTTATGTGTGAATTAAAAAAAAATTTTTAGTTTTCAGCTGATATCTGCTTTTCAGTCTCATAAATAGTGACATTTGACACGTCATGATGAGAAGCAATCATTCGGAGTAGGTCTGGAGTCATGAATGCTCGATCTCTTCAAGTAAAGCCCAGTTCAACCCCTTGGCTGGTGTTTTCAGATTAATACACTCAATCTATCCGTTTATGATCTCAGCATAGAGAAAAGCTTTTCATTAGCACGAGGCCTGATCAATCAGTCCAGGGCCGTCTGAAGCTTTAACGTGAAGAACATCCCTTCAGTTCTTAACACAAATATCGATGTCTGGAGTTCAGCGGCGGAGCTTTAACACATGAGCGAGTCTTTTGTGGGAGTCGGTGAAAGAGGGAGACGCTATTAATCTAGTTCCACACTCGTGTTTACAGTGCCTCCCTGAAACTCTGGGAACCATCCAGAACCCAGCTGAACAGAGAGACAACACTCCAGATGATGCCTTGTGTTAATGCATATGGGTGTTTCTTCAACTATATGACTTACAAAGAAAAGGAAACACTTTATTCACACTACTTTCATTTCTTTAGTAATAGCATCTAGTTTTTTTCCAAGCCATTTTTTTCTGACCAAAACAAGCCATTCCCAACACATCTCAAATCATGTATTTCGTTTGAAGTGGAAATGATGATAAACATTAAGTTAAACGGCAGACTCATTTGTCTTGCGAAGGCTAATTTCATTGCTAGTATTTTATATATCCTAAATGCAAAATATTAAATAACATTTACAACATTTTTGCATTACTTGACCAAAGTATAGCTTGGCTGCAAATAAGGCAAAATTAAATATTCTGTTTTAATAATAATAATAATAATAATCAAGTTATTATGAATTATATTACATCTAATTAATGTAATAAAATAAATATATAAATAACTTGCCTTGTTTTTAATTTTATATAATTCTAAATGAATAATTCGATATTTTTCCCCATAGTAAATACTGCAATTGTTATTTCACACTTTGTTTAGATCATAATAGAATTATTCATCAAAATAGCAAAATTAATAATGATTAATTAATATGAATAGATATCGATGTATACATACTTTTTTATGCTATAAAAGTATACATAATTTACCCTGTTTTTACTAGATAATTTAACTTAAAAATATTAATATTTTTAAAACAAGTATGCATCATTTTCCACATTAAATACTGAAAAGGCTTATTTCACTCTTTGTTTAGTACATGGCAGCTTAAATATATATGTATAAAAAAATAAAAAATAAAAAATAAAATAAACGTAATTAATATCAATAGATTGTCACAGTTTAAGGTTGAAGTATGTGTCTGGAATAGTCATAAAACAAAAAAAACATTATTATACATAAAAACACTTCAAAATTTTTTAATTTTTATTAGCAACTTTTATTATTAATCATTAATACCTTAAATTTGGCAATTAAATAAGGTAAATAAATAAAATGTAAAAAAAAATAATAATAAAGTTTTAATTTAAAAAAGAGGAGTAGTTGAAAGTAGTTGAAGAAACATCCATATATCTATATTTATCCATCATGTCATAAAGATGAGGTCATCGCACACATCATTGAGCTGCGTAACGCTGGTGAAATTAATACCGCTATCTGCATGGCTAATTCCTGCCTACACCGCTCTACGACGCCTGGAGCACGAGAACATTTTATCATGTTATTTTTCTGAATAGTACTGATAAGGATTTTAAAATATCCTTGTGCTGAGGACTGAAGCTTCGTTCAGCTCTCTCAAAGACGGTAATGTTTTCCGTGCGTCACTTGAACTCCATCTTTCTCAAGGAAACGCACACACAAAAAATGGGGTCTTTCAAAAAAATGCACAAAGACAACAAATTTCTTTCTCCGAGGGAAAGAAACAAGCATTGAAAGAGGAGAAAGAGAAGATAATGAAGAAAAAGCTACAGCTGTACTGTACGAGAGTGTCTCTCCGTCTGTTCAGCTGCTGAGGAACTTCGACGTATCCTTCCTCTCCTCCGGCTGTATAATGGAGCATTATGGGAAGGGCTGTTATTCCGCTCGGCTCTGGATGGAAATGCTTCCCCACCATTTCTTATTAGGGCCAAGCAGCTGGGGCTCCCATTCAGAGTCGTGAACCGGCGTTTCATATTCTGTTTTCCTGTCTCGCAGATGTTAAAACAACATATCTGAGATTCCGGTTCGGGCCTTAAGACAAAAGCGTTGCGCGCCCACTCCCTCCTCACAAATGTGCCTTTATTTTGTCCGCATGCCGTAAATGCTTTTGCTGGCTTTATGAAATAAATTAACAGCAAACGACAAGCGATAAAATCAAGAACAATAGTGATCTACAGAGGGCCGCAAAAGTCCACATGGAAAATCTGGGATCCAAAATCTAATTTAAACCGGGAATGTTGTATTTGAAAAAAAATTTAAACATTATGAGACATTATGACTTAAAAACACATATACATATAATATATATATACATAT